TTATAGGTTTATATATATTAATACAAATATTTGTATATATACAATATATTTTTAAATAAACAAACAATCAGACATCTCTGCTAATGAGACTAAATTTATACAAAGCATTTACGAAATGCCAGAGATCACCTATATTATAATATATACGCTTTTACTACAAGTCAATCATGTAAAGGTAATTATACAAATAGACATAATTACGACTATGCAGAAAGGCTTATACCAGCCACAGACACGTCTTATTTCAATATTTCAATGAAAGGGTTAACTGGAATTTGCACTCTGCGTGCAATCACATTGCTTAATCTCTACTGGTCATTGTACGAAAGCTGATAAGGATTAGACAGTATTAATGTGCAATCCCCAGGCCAACTAAAGCCAACAGTCAAAGCTGCCTTCAATGAGGATTAGTAATTCCCGTTACACATACCTGACTTCAAATATACGAATAAAGATGTTCAAAAACAATGTCGTGGCGGCAGCGCAGGTGCGAGCGAGAGCGAATAAGTAAGGCGCAGCAGAACCTGTTGCGGGCAGCAGTACAAGATGTCGACTGTTTTGACTTGGAGAGCGGCACCTGTGTAGGTGAGCATTAAGTGAATTGGTTATGTTGTTATCAATATTGGAACGAACACATTGATGATATGGCTACGTACCTAGGAGAACTAAAATTTGCTTAACTAAAGCTGCATTGCCGGCACCGAGGTTCAAAGTCCGCTATCTTTGGCAGTTTGAACCAGACAATCGCATCTATTTTTATCTAAGCATCGGCGACCTTTTCTATTACAAGCAGCTGCTGTCTAATCGCTGCATGGAATTGTTTTACTCTCCAATCATTAAAAACTCAGCTTTAATTTTTTGAATTTACCCAAATCTCGATGGTTTGTAATTTTGTGTTCTGTAATTAAAGCTAGAGATGAACCAATCGAAAGATACACGTCTGTGTTATATAGACAAATAGGCCTATAAAAAGCCTATGTCAAAAAATTGTTTTCATCTAACGAATCAACTAAATAATAAATTATAATATAAATGGATCGTTAAAAAATATCTAACGCACTGAGAATTGTTAAATATACTTAATTATTTTTAATTAAATAATTATTATTTTGCTCACACTGTTATAGACACGACCTTTACGTGGCACACGAAAAGCACGAACCGGTTTCATCTCTATTCGCATACTCTCAACAGGCGCTGCCAACTCGTGTTTAAATATATATTTATTTACACAGCTGTTGGCACCTGCCCGGCAATTCAAAATAAATCTATATGTATGTAGTCTATCAAAATATACACATTTAATTACATAATTTGTTATGTTATACAATAGTAAAATTATATAGCGTCTATGTGGCCCACAAGCGTTAGACCCTTATTGTCTAAAATGTTAACAGATCATTGGCCAGCTCAACGCCAACAAATACCGCTGCGGTTGAGGGAAAAGCACGTATTAATATGGGCAGGACACCGCGATACAACGCTTTGGGTCCCTCTTTGGCCATCAGTTCCTTGAATACGCTTCGTATGCCATGCTGGTAGGTGCCCTCGGGCGCTGAATGTTAAATGAGAGTTAGCTAATGTACTAATGACACATAATATCATTTACTAACCCGATTGCAATCGACTCTTAAGTACATCAAAAGGCACAGCCAATGACCAAAATGCAATACCAGCCATGCCGCCAGCAAATATGGTCGATGTGGGCGTTATACTACCAGTCTTTGAGTGCCGTCTAGCCAGATCTTGCAAGGCCTCGTATATAACAAAATAGACACCAGTTGGTGAATCTATAAGGAATAAGATTATCAAATATAAATATACAGATCAACAGCCATCTCTGACTCACCTCGCAGCACACAAGCACACGTGCCCTTAAAGAGACTCCGTATACCACCTTGCCTATAGAGCTTCAGTGCGGTATCTATTAGACCATTGTACATCACTGGGCCGGTCACCGGTTGGGTTTGCAGCAACACCTTAATGCGATCGGATGGCACCGTAACCAGAGCCGAGCAAATGCCCGCCCCAGCGCCGGCGATAAATATTTGTGAATATGTGAGCTTAACGTGTTCGTCACTCTGAAAGAGCCGCTTGCCAGCCGCATAGACGGCAAAATCTACCGCATAAATGGGCGTGACACCTATCAAAGGTGCTGAAATGCCTTTGTAGAAGCCTCGAACACCCTCATGACTAAACGTCTTCACAGCACAATCGATAATGCCTTTGTATTTGGGCGGCTGACCAGCTACGGGCAGCGGCATTGTCTGTAGTCGCACCTAAAAGTAAATAAAAATAATAAAATACAATAAGAAATAAATCAAACCTATTGCTTTAAAAAACGTACCTTAATTGTATCTAGCGGATATCCTGTTAGCACACTGCATATTCCACCGAATCCTCCAGCTATAAATGATTTAACAGGATTCGCTTTGGAGTCGCTTGTCGGCAATGCCATGACGAACTACTTATGGTATTTACGTAAATGAAGCCAAAATATCGTCAGCCAGTCTTGGGATGATTACTGAGTAATTGATACATGCACGTGTGGTGAGTGTTGTTTGGGTTATGTTATCAGTGAACTGGGCTGCTGCTGCTGCTTAATAATGATAATCAATTTGTGGATTTCTTTGGCGAGCTCAATTTCCATTTCGAATTCACAGCAGCGCATCCAGTCTTATCAACTAAAACCATATGTCGAAGCGCAAACATTTACATTTGGCCAAAATGTTATTAACAGTGCAGATGAATCTTATACTGTTACAATAGTTTACTCATATTTCAGTGTTATGAAATGCGTTAAATTTATTGCAGACTTCGGTTTGGCAAAGAACCGTTTAATATTGGAAGGTAAAAGGCCTGTAATAATATAAAAGCACTATAACACAGTCGGAATAAGAAGTAAGTTCATAAGGAATAAGTTCACTAACAACAGCGGTGTCTTGGCAAGACCCCAAGCGAATTTTTCGTATTTATGCTTACATATTTTAAAAAGAAACAATTTTGATATATTTTTCAGAAACAATAAGAAATTAAGAACATGTTCTGTGAAAATTATCATTCCGTAGAGCATTTGTGTAATTATTATATACAGTTTACGGCTTAAAAACATTACAATATTTTTGTATTACATGTATAACCGGATATTATATTTATGTGTACATCTGCGTTTTAAGAGTTTGGAAATTTCAGATTTAAAATGTCCATTTGCCAATTGTTCGATGTTCGCCTACTGTTTATCGATAGCTGTAATAAAATTGACATTCACAGCGAATATCTTTGAAAGGCCTCAATATATGAAATGAGCGAAAACAATAAAAATAAAGTTTAAAAATGCATACAAAAAATGTTTTAAAACGTGCCATTTAAATTAAATGATACATTAATAATAAAAAACGCAACTCAATTTTATTGCTATCGAGCCTATCGAGTGTGCCACAGCAGGGCTGCCAGAGTGAGCTAAAAATTGTTGCGTATGCGTGTGCAAAGCATATGCATAGCATATTTTATTGTTTAAAACAATCCTTTTGTGCAAAAAATTGTGCAAAAACATATGTAGAACTTATGTCTGATACAAGTGCTCTGGAATTATGTATCAGTTGTAGTGCGAGCTGCAGTAGCAGGCGCAAAAGAAGAAAGTGAAGCAGCTACAACAACAACAGCAGCGACAAGAACAACAACAAAAGAGCAGCAACAAATTTTGTAAAAGGGAAAGAGAAATATATATACATACATATATTTGTACACAATCAAACGCACACGCAACGTGCTCGCACCAGCCCCATTATAAATTCAAGAAACAACAGCTACAAAAACAGCAATTGCAATGTCCAATGGTGACGATGTGCTAGACAACTGGGAAGAAATTGACGAGGCAGGCGTGAGTATAGATTGACATTACATCAAAAAACAGCAACAACATCAAAACAGCAACAAACAAAAAAATAATCGTCAAAAATGCTTTCTCGATATCTCTTATAGCTTTGCATGACGCTTCAAACGAAACTGCAAACCGCCGACGACGACTCCAGTTGCACCTCTAAGCCCGCCTCAACAGCTGAAACACCAGCAACAACAGCAGTCTCTGGCAAAATGAAATTACTTCAACGGCCGCAGAGCATGCAGGAAAGCAGCGGTGGTGGCAGCGCTGCGACGGCCGCAGTCGTGGCACCTAAACAAATCATGATTGCTAAGAAGCAGCCTACGTCTGCGACATCATTGGATGACGAATCGAGCGCGCCGTCGCCGCCTGTTATGATGGTGCTCCATAAATCGAGCAGCGAGTACGATGCTGCCAATTATGCCACGCCCATTAGCAATCAAACGGTGAAAATATTGCGACGACCCGCACAGGCCGAAGAGCGCCGTGATATGAATGGCATTAGACCCAAGCAGCCCATCAAAACACTGCAGCAAAGAGAGCAGGAATACGCACAGGCACGTCTTCGCATACTGGGAAGCGCTAAGAATCCAGAGGACGATAAACCGTTAGTATTTGAGTATATATACATATATAACATTGATACTGCCAGTTATCATTTGCAGATATCGTAGCTACATATATTTACATTGTTTTGCTGATGCTGGCAACTCTTATAGTGAATATGTAGTTGCTCTCAATATTCATGCTGTTTATAGATCTAGAGTGACTCATAACCTTCCAGTAGCTTCTATAGCTATGCTATAAGAAAGCTCTGCTGCCATTTTGTATATAGAAACAGATTAGCGCATCAGTTGATTAACAGATAATGCCATACCATATCATAGCTAATGGGTAATTAGCTATATATTCCTCGGAGCTAATTTCTTTTCATTTTAATAACCAATATAAGGATAATATATCCTATAGCTGTTATAGAAAATATTCAATAGCAACGAAATTTTCCATAAAATTAGGATGAACTAGACTGATGCAGTTAAAATTATCTATGTATTAGCTATGTCTCCAACCAAGATAAGGATAGGATAATCTGTAGAGCAAATTGGTGATGCAGTGATCCAGTTTCTGTAAGAATGCCAAGCTTTAACAAGCGGTGCAACTGGTACTTGATCCGGATACAATTCTATATACAACACTTTCCATTTCAAATTTCTCATTTTACCATTTAAGCAGCGTTCATTAAACTAATATTTGATCTCTGTATATATGAGACTTTCCCTAAACGAAGTTCCCAATGCAATTTCTCAAGTTGCCTTTTGTGCGCCTTGTAAAACTAATATCTAATCTCTTGCAGTGCCGCGGCCGCAACCCTCGTGGTGCTATCAACCCCAGTGCAGCCGGAGGTGACGACAACAACGCCAACAGCGTTCAACTTCAATAACAACAATAATAATAACAATAGTGGCAGTGGCATTCAGTCAGTGAATAATGCATCACCTGGGATGCATCGATCCACATCGGCGCCAAAGATGTCACAGACGGCGCCCTTTTACAACAACTACAACAATTATTATCAGCCGCCGCCAAATGCAGCCCCCATGGGCTATTTCTATCAGCAGACACCGTCGATGCATCAGCCACATCAACAGCAGCAACAGCATCAGCAAACTTCGCCACAATCACTGGCGCATTACAATCAACGACTGTCGCAGTATATGACAGGCGCCACTGTGACAACAGCAGGAGCTGCAACGGCCAATCCTCAGCAGAGTTGGTCGCCGGTTGTGGGCGGCAGTGTTTCGGCGGCGCTGCTGCGTCAGCAATCGTTGCATACGCCATCGTTGCAACAGCATCAGGCACAGCCACAGCCACCGCCACCTCAATATGCACATCCATACAATGATAACGTACTACGGCTGCCACGTGGTCCGTGCCCCAATGGCACAATCGGATTTCAGATGCGTCGGTAACAGGCGGCCGGATGGATGCAACAGAATTATCTATTATTTCAATTATCCCATGCCAATTGAACGCATGCATTCAAAATTGTCATTTCTGAGATTGCATTAAGTAATTTGTTTTGCTTTATACACATTTATATATACATCTATATATATATTTATTCATTCTTTTTCATGTGGCAAATTTGAGAGCTGCAATCAACCAACTATGTAAACAAATTTATGACGGAGTTTGGTAGTTATCTTGTAAATTTACAAACAAAAAAAAACAACAACAACAGAGGAGAAACATTACAATTTTTTAATGCTTACTAATAATAATAACAAAACAATACAAAAACCGAAAATACATATTTTACAAAACGTGAATGGGCTACTTGATTATGATCGAATTCGAATTCGAAACTAAATATCTTTATAAATATATACAAATATTATTGATCGTAATTTAGATATGGTAAGTAAATTATATAATGGTTGATAGTACTTTTAGGGAAGCTTATTTAAATGATTACCTAACAAAATATTGGCATATTATAATAGATCAGGTAAGTATTCTTACAGAGTTGGGCTAATTTCTGAGAATTATTTTTAAAGGTTATAAATTTTCGATTATGGTATTTAAGTATTAATATAGAACTTGCTGATATGTATTTAGAATTCAATTGACATTTCAAAGATTATCCGAAAATTACATAAGGTTCCTAATATTCTATTAAGATTATTTAAAAACATGTTTTTTATGATATTACTTTGGTTATGGTTATGACTGTAAGAATTTTAACTTTGTAGTAATAAATATACTATCAATTAATTTAAGTGATTTATATATTTGAAATAATTTTAAAATTTAATTTCTGATATTACAGATTAGGTAACTAATATATGTTTCAAATCAGGGAATAACATAAGAATTGTTTTACATCAAGAACAGAATTTCTTTGTTTTCCAATTTCAGTTTTAAAAATGTTTTTTTTTTTTTTTTTTAGAAATATTTTTAAATGTAACTTCCAAACAATGAATCACGAATATATCAGAAAATGTACTTTTCGGTATTAACAAATTGAGAAGAAATAAAAACATGTGTACACATTTAGGTACACACGATCAGTATTGAAATCAAGAGATTTGTTTCCAGAATTCGGTGCATTGATCTCAGATTATCTGTAATTTGTTTCCGCGACTGATGCAGGGCCATAAATTTTGTATGATTAAGAAATCGGCTGATCGCTTAAATATGAATTGGTTTTATTATATGTATACTTACACCTCATCCAGTTAAGTGAAGTTTCACACTTCGCGCCATTTAATTACAATAAGAAATGTAAGAATTTGCTTAATTTAATGAAAGCGTAAAAAATGCTGTACTGTTGGCTGCAACTGCACTTACCCCCACGGTCTGTACGGTTACGGCCTCTGAAAAGGTTATCGTTGTGTTTTTGTTATTTTCCAAACGGTTTCTTCTGCCACCAATAACAAAAACAAGAGAGTGCATTACAGTTAGGGACCGACGCCAATCGGCAATCCAATGACTTTCTTATCAGCTCGCAGCAACGTAAAATATGTATAAGACGTGTATAAGTGTGTGAGAGAGACAGAGTGAGAGAGAGAGAGCGCGCATAACATAATCAACTGGTATCGCGACGAATTCGCGTTACCTAGGCCTGTCTACTATTTTCGCTTTTTATTTTTGCCTACACATAAAGTATTTAATTCAGTTCAGTTTCAGTTGAAAACAAGGCGTCGTGCGGTGCGGTTTACTATTAGCAAAGAACGGCGAAAGCAACATAAGAAGCATAGCTGAAAAGAGATCAAACAAAAGCCACGCTCTCTCACACTCTCGCCGCTCAATTCGCTCTTTGTTGCTCGTGCGTGCCAAAAATCGTCACTGATCGGAACACGTGGGCACGCAGCAAACAGAATACAACGATAAAAATACAACGAAAACAATTTAATAGCAATTATTTCGCGTCATTAAAACGTGCAAAGTTTTCTGATTA